AGATAGATGGCATTTCTTCTGCGTAGGGTCGTGAGAAGTTCAATTTGTGCGGACGTTCTGGACGACGAATTCTTCTTCTACCCAGAGATTCAGCACCGCGGACACATAAATGGCGTAATCTGATGCGCATGTGCGTCCAATGAAGTATAAAACAACTTTCTATAAATAATGACGTGGAACGCTTCTTTTATGCTTCCGGCGCTCGTGTGTCGCAATCATTGCTCTTGTCTGAAAAAGCTGCAGTAATTACTGTTATGGTAGTGGTTGAGAATGTTTAAACCATCCTAAGCACACGTTTCAGAAAGCTTAAAGCCCACACTAATTTTTGAGTAAGAGTTAAGATTGCCTGAAACTTTATACACCTGAAAACTTACTGCTATGTACAGTGATCGGCTGAATAAATAAATAACGTCGTATTTTGTAACTCATTTTTTTTTTGTAGATAACTAGCGACTTTTGTGTTTTTCCAGAAGCGAACCAGAAACTTACCTACGTCGCTTTGTTGGCTGAGTAATTGATTGCCAAACGACGTTTGCGTACTTTGTCTGAGAAACCCGTACAACCTCACAAATCTAAGCTCAATTCCTACAATTCGATGGAGCCTTTACGCAAATACTTTGTGTGGCGGCCCTCACCGTCAGCAAAGACAGTCGTACAGTTTACACCAATCTTACAGCATAAATAACCAATATCCCAAGTTGCACAGTCTTTTGTCTACGTATCGGCTCATTTGTAACGAGGCGTTCGAAGGCTTTACCGCACGCCGGTTTAATTTGTAACGCGTTCGTTTCGAAACTCAATCACGACTGACCTTTATCACGGCCGCTCTATTACATCTTAGAAACGCGTACAGGTAAATTGCCGGTAAAGTCGGTGTACTGTCCTATACAAGTGCAGTATACGCATTGATGTCGACATTGTTCGCGCTGCCCCGACAAGCGACAGAAGAGGAGCGGCCGTTTGACTGAGACCGCGCCTCTGTCGAACCTTTCTAGTGACTGGAATCGAAGCGTCGGTCGATCCATCTTTGCGGATTTGATCCCATGCAGCTTCACACCGCACGCCGCCTGTACTCCGAGCGCTTGCGAAATCCCTGCCCGGGCAACAATTCCGAGAGCGCGCGCGGCATGCGACCGCTAAGCCGACAATCGAAGGCGCCTCGTGGTATCCCCCCCTAAAAGAAAACCAATCGCGGCGAAAACTACAAGGGATGCCGCCGCTTTGGTTTCAGGTCTGATGAGCACCAACCTGGCCAACTGCCTGTCAGTCAAGCTGGAGCAGCCCAAGGCCCCGCCCATCGATTACTCCCGCTACGTCCGCAGGTAAGCGCCCGACTTCAGGACGACGTTCTCGTGGAATCGCGTTTTGGCCACGAAATCGAACGGTTTTCGTCTGCGCCGTATTACGGCGGTAGAATTTTCGTTTATTCAAATCAGGCGGCCGCGTTGTGAGAGAACAGTATACGTTTCGGTCTTTCGGATCGATAAAACTAATTTGTGAAATATTGGTACAAATATTTTTAGGAGACCTTCGGACGTCGCTTTCGGGAATGACGTCGGCGGTATTGCTCGCGAGACACGATCGAGCCTGTCCTCCGTCGTGGTAGAGGGCATCACTTTACAGATTCTCTTTGGCTTCTATGACATGAAAGAAAGCACGATGCCCCAATGCGGACCGCGGCTTTGGGATCACCACGGTCACTCTAGTATACAAAGAAGACCAAAGACTGTTAGCGGGAAATGTTTTAACAGTGTTTCCGTGACCAGTATATATGGGCCCCTGTTTGCTCGTTAATTCTACTTTTACGCGAAACAAAGTGTTCTAAATATGTGTTGTATTCTGTCGAAGACAACGCATTTCACTGTGTAAAAAATAGCGAGAAGTGTTGGACATGATTATAGATTTAGAATGTTACAAGCTTTACACGTTACGTTTAGAATAAACGAAGAAAGGAAAACTTTTTTAAAATAAAATAAATAAAACACGTCTCCAGTGGACCGACTGGACTAATATCTCGAGGGAAATTTAAACAATCTAAAGAACCGTTCTTTATTTGTGTATGTGTGTGTTACCTCGTTTTAATTATCCTAATTGACCACTGGGGATCTAACATTCTACTCGGGTAGGAATGGAAGGAGAGGAGGAAATGAGAGAGAGAGAGGCGACGCGAGAGAGCTGAGCTCAGACTGGATTGATTAGTGGGTAGAGGCGAAGTTAGCTTCCTTTGTCTCTGCTTGCTCTTCGGTTGCGTTCGAAAGAGTGAGTAGAGACAAAATTTTGCCTCTACCCTCCCCATAAACACTAATCAATCCAGTCAGAGCTCGGCGCTCTGGCTTCACCGCGCGCTTTTGTCTCCTTTTCTCCCTTTTACCTGTAGAAGATTATGATGAGCCGTCATCAGCCTTAGTGAGCCGCAACACTGGACAGGTAGCTAGCTTGTCCCCCCACAAAATTTTCTTAAATATTTTTTTTTTTATTTTAGCGAGTTTAGTTGCATGTGTTTTTGGTATAACCGTGTAAGAATAAAAAAAAAAGCGTTCTACACCGCAATTAATCTCGAGATTCATAGCTATCCGAAATTAGAAAATTGTATTCTAAGAATGCATTGTAAAAGGCCATGTTTCAAACCGCCATTACAGCCTAGAGTGAATGCTTAATTATCTCTTTGTTTGGGGTTTCGCGGGTTGGCTACAGCCTCCCGCCTGCAACAAAACAAGACCGCGACCGCCCAGTGAAGGCGGTCGTAACTGCGTACTTCGTCCCAGTGATCCATGAGCATGAGACTCGAAGCTGATCCTTTGCTTTCGGAGGAGTCCTTACATTTCCCCGTCACGCTGTCTCCCCCGCAGGTACTCCAGCGCCAGCCAGTGCGGCAGTAACTACTGCAAGGACCTCAACTACCGGGAGCATTTCCACTGCCTGGACTGCAACTCCAGAGTACGTCTAGCCTATTTTCCAGACTAGAGTCCGCGGACCGTACGTATTTGAAAGTTGAAATTCTACGCGTCGCGGACAACCTACGCGTGCGAGCTACACAGGAATTTTGTTTTTCAAGATTGTTCATTACGACGAGACGGGACGGATTTTTTGAATGAAAAAAGAGTATGTTATTGGTGGTTCATGTATAATACGCTCCTTTGTGAGCTAAGAAAGCAAACATTTGTCAAAGTGTGCCGTGTAGGCGAAGATTGTCGTGTCGACTAACCATTAGGAGAGGACTATCTAAGCAAAAACGTATTTTGGACCCTAAATTTGCTCCTGCCGACTATACACCGGGTGCGGACGAAAAATACGGTGCATTTTTGCTTGCCACTCCTGCCCCCCCTCCCCCCCCCCCCCCCCCCCCCCCCCCCCCAGGGTTCGCTTTCTAAAGTGTATGTTTTTTTAGCTTCCACAGGTTCCAAGTTCGCAATTTTATGCCTTATTTGTTTATTTATCCGTGCGCTCCTGCAGCATCTTGAAATAATTTTAGCATGGAGATGATATAAAATAAAAAGTTCTGACAATAATACAAGCGAAAGTAATTTTGATCCAACATATTCCATCCTGACGCTTTTCGAAGAAAAAAAAACCACGGCAAGACGAGTTGCTAGTTCGAAGGTGTCCCTATCATTTTGTCGAAACTCGTTTCGTGGAATTTCGTTTCGGGCACAACTTTTCACCGGCACAATCGTTTCATCGAAACTATTTACGCGAATTTCACGCTGTAGGGACATTTCGTCAAACGTATATCACCATAGTGCGCGTTAACCCCCCCTTCGGCCTGCGTCTACCACGCCGCTTCGCGGCGGCGCATTCCAAAAATGTTAACCCACCTGACCGACCTGTACACGTTGCTTCGCGGCGACAATCTCATGCAGCTTATGAAAAAATAAAAAATAAAATAAAAAGCTAATCTGAGCTGTCAATGAAACGATTTGCGATGAAACAATCTGTCGATGAAACAATCAGTTGATGAAACGTCATTTGATAGAACTGATTGCCAGCGACTTCGAAGTGGTGGTGTATCCTCTCTGACGTATCAGATGTAATGTCCTGCCCCGGTCATAGCCAACTTAACTCAATTGACGTTTTTCTTGTTCACGTATGCATTGCATGCAAGGTGACGCACAGCTCGGGAGTATGGCTCTATGACGTTGCACACAACTGTGTGATGATGATGAACGCTAAAAGGGCTGAGGTAGTATGCACGCTAGTCGATGATGTCATCCGGTGGTCTGCCATTCTGGTTGCCATTGTTTTCAGGAACGCCTGTCAAAAGTCTCACTACACTAGATCCGAGTACTAACGGAAAATAACTGTAAACAACCGTCGGTTGAAAAAAAAAAAAATTGCTGCGCATTTACAAATGTTTGACCCGGCCGGCTCCTCTTCGTTAAGCTTATCTACACGGGAGCTCACTGTCATCATGACGTGATTTGACATTGGAAAACATTTCGAAATAAGACGACGACGGCAATCGAGGAGGGAAGGGAAGAAATTTTCTTTTGAGGAGAAGGGCAGAAGCCATGATTTTGTTGCTCCCTCGCTTGCTGCCACTCACGCAATTCTTATTATATTTCTTCGACCCCCCCCCCCCCCCCCCCCCCCCACACACACACACACGCACACACACATACACACAAGCACGATATGCCGTCACTCTTAGAAACGCGTGTAGAGGGCTGTTCAGACGTCGGCTAGTTTTGTTTTCTTTCTTGTTTGCTATTGTTGTTATCCGCTTAACTTGTCGTTTTCTCTCACATCTCCGAATGTCGACTCGGTTTCTTTCGTTTTTGTGCGTCTGTGTGTGAGTGCTTTTTCGACGGCATCTTGTCGAGTTTGCGGCGGCATCCGCGTACAGCCGCTCGCGCTGAACTCAGTCTCAACTTTTTTTTTTTTTTACGAACCAGCTACCGGATGCTTCTAGGGCTTTTTATCACCTCGCTTTTACGGTCCCCGCTAAGGCAGAGGGGAAGAACGTGCCAGTGTGTGTGTGGAGGGAAAGGACCTTTAGCAACAGCCTTTCTTTTAGAATAAGAGCTGCGATGAGAGAGAGAAGAAATTCTCAAATCCCCCCAAAAGAAAAAACTGCGGCCGCTGCCGCCAGCGCTTGCCGCGGCGCGTCCACTTTTGACTTTGACGGCGTCCGCACGCCGCGCGCGAGGATTCAAGAAGAAACAACCGACGAAATAACGACAATAACCGCGAGAAACGGCCGCCGGAGGAAAGGGCGACTAACTCGAGGAGCATGCACGACGAATTTCGCCTGACAGGCCCCCGGATATAAGCGAGTGTAGCTACGAGCGTCTCGTTTGGTTCAATGTTTTTTTTTTTTTTTTCTTTCCTGCCACTAGATAAAAACAACAACTAAGGAGGTATAAAATGTAAGAGGTTTCGAGGGGGGTAAATGGTAACGAAACGGCGAAGAAGAGGGCCGAGAAATATAAGGAAAAGGACCAGATTTTCGGAGAAAAACGTGACGCCCGTCTTGCTATAGGTTGGGATAAATCTTGTTCTATATTTGTTCAAGATAAGGGGAGTCGAACCGTCGTGTCGTGAGCTGCCCATATTGTCGAATATAAACAGGGCCGTTAAAACTGTTTTCTTGCTCTCTCTCTCTCTCTCTCTCTCTCCTGTCACGCCTCCCTCATATTTCTATTCATTATTTTTGTTTAGTATTAAAATTTTTCTTCTTGTTTTGGTCTTGCATAGTCCTTTCTGTATGTATATAGAGGGTCTTTCGAGCGTTGTTTGTACGACGTCTATCCAAAGTAGCGAATAACCGCATAGCCGGGAAATTGTTTTTGTTTTGGTCATCTACGTTGTTGTTATAAATATTTTCGGTTGGGTGTTCTTTTTCTGTCTATTTACGAATAAAATAATAATAAGAAAAAGGGGGGTGGGGGGGAAGCGACAACCAAGAACAACGAGGAGCTTTTTTTTCCTTTTGCGTGGAATTGCAAAATCCATGGGAGTGCACGGCTTCGTGCGCTAGTCACAGCCCGGATAACGAGCACTATAACCGTGAAATATTGCTGGATATTCTCCGAGCTGGTGAGCATGAAGAAAAGAAAGACAGAGAAGAGGGATGTGCGATGCTAAAACGTGCTTTAAAGACCTCCGTCCTTTTTTTTTTATATATTTTTTCAACTTTTTTAACGTTTTTATTTATTAAATTTATTTTATCAGGATTTGTGTGTGTGTCCAAATTGTTTTTCTTTCTAAGTCATATCGTAGATATTGCGAAATAAATGGATGTGGTGTTGTTGAGAGCAGTCGGAATTGTGGCACCACGGAAATTTATCATATCAATGAGGCATACAGAATCAGCCAACTTGAAGATCCATAAGGCTTTGGTTGGGTGACTGCAAAGGGTAGTTGATTAACATTTATAGAGCCAAAAGCTGCCAGCGGTGAAAAAATAATAAGCGATGTGAAATGTTACAAATGCTGAAAGCTTCAAAGTGCGCCTTGGAGAAATGACGCATGAATTTGTGAACCCCCCAAAAACTCAAGTACGCATAGCGTGTAAGTAAAGCAATTACATTTTGATTTTTAAGTGTTGTTAAAAATCTGGACATAGTAGTGCTTCAAGGCAGTGAGTGCTGATGGTTGATTTACGAAGTTTCGAAATGAAGTGGCGAAAACACCTGCTGGTAATCGCCAATACACAATTTAAAGATGTATCTCGTGACGTAGCAGGCGTTTCGAGATCTATAGTTAATTTTGTATTTCGTTCACAAAAATCTGCTGACCAAGCAGTGTACCAACAAGGTCTGTTTTTCAACTTGCTCAAAAGATACTGTTTTTTTTTCTCCCACCCCAGGTGTTCGTGAAGAAGGAAGAGATGATCCGGCACTTCAAGTGGCACAAAAAGAGGGACGAGTCTCTCCAGCACGGATTCCTGCGGTACAGCCCGATGGACGACTGCTCCGAGAAGTTCCCAAACTGCGCCCACAACCGAAAGCAGACCCACTACCACTGTCTGAAGGTGAGCGAAAAGGTCACTCGTCTTCTGATGGGCACACTGGGAATCGAGGACATCCCCCGGTTTAAAGAGCTACTCGAAAGAAATTTGATGTTTAGAGTGGAAGATGACTGGTTTTCGTTTTTTACGGTTATCAGTATTCTTCACGATTGGCTTTCCAGAGATTTTAGGACGAATATGTGTTCGCATTATAGTACGCGCGAAAACAAGCGAAAAACATCGTAACCGACAGCGAAACGCCTACTCGGCATCCGATAACTCCGTGGCTAAGAGGGGGATATCGCAAACTTTCCTTGAACCTCAGGGCTCGTACACTTTTAATGATTTATAATTCAATTCGTACAACAGCGCCGTAGATGATCCGGATAGATAAAAGCACAAAGAAGTACATAAAAAGGATTGGCGTTCCGGAGGGGACAACTGATAGACAGGAGTAGGCTGTCCCGTTGTTTCTGAAACAAATGTTTAACGTCTTGCCAATGCTGCAGCTTGGTCACGACAGCATCCAACAGACAGATGCAATCCTAACGGTCCTGAAAGAGTATTCAGGTGAGAGGCGTAGAAAGCGTGAATGAACTGGACAGGTCGTACACGTGGCTTCTTAATCAAAGTCGGCATTAGAGCTGCGATGGATGGGCGGAACTCCCTGAAGTCTGATGTAATAACAACCGAGTTCTTGTGTGTCAGTTTTTTTTTCTCCAAAGCTCCATTCAGATTACGCGCTCGCTTGCCCTGGGAAATATTAGCATACATAAAATTTACAAAAAGTCACATAGTCTGGTTACGAAGTAACCGGACTACGTAACGTTTTTTCATTACCAACATCACCGCCTAAGTTCGTTAGACAAAGTAGTTCCTTTATCATTACCAGCATCACCAACTAGCCTCCTTAGAAAAGCCAATGAAATCCGCTTCCTTTATTATTTTTATTAGAACAAAAAAGGGGGGAGCGGGTGCATTGTGAAGGCCCTCTCCAGATTCCTTTGCCAGGAACCCTTTTCAGGTGTCTAATGTTGCTGTGGGATGGTTTAATGCCGGGGTCACCAAACATTTGGCTCAGGGGCCGGATCGGCGATCTGTCGCTTTCTCGAGGGTCAGAAAATAAATAAGGAAATATAAACGAGAAAACAATAACAACAGCAACTAAATAAATAATCCTTTAGACAAGCTTTTAAATACCAAATTTAAAGTTAGACTAAGCATTAAAAAAGAGGCATATAAGGTGAATGAATATATCTGCTTCATTTCTAAATCCAATATTTAGCCAATTATGACATTGCATAATAACTGGGGCCTAAAAAACTATAAATCGAAGCGCATAGAAACATTGGCATGTTCCGACGGGACAGGAGGCAAATGAGAATGATAATTCTGATGCTGACAATATGCAATAGATACGGTACAGGACATTGAGCACAACGTATACATGGAAACGCAAAGGAATTATAACATGTATAGTTACGCAGATATGAAATCGGGGACTGATAATTCACGCGCGCTTATTTTTGCGCCGGGCTGGAAGCGGGCCGCCGAGCGGTCAGAAGATCTCCGTGGAGTCGGCCCGCGGGCCGGAGTTTAGAGACCCCTGGTTTAGTTTTATTATAGAAGCAAAGACAGGACACGATGGAAGAAACAGCAGGAAGAGGATGCTCAGGATAGAATCCCCCAGAAATCTCAAGATACCCAGATAATGTTTTCTGAAGGTTGGAGAAGCGAACTTTCTTGCATCGGCTGCTATTCCAGGGAATCCTTCTTTTCTCGGTTATTATATGAATACATGCACAAGACGAGAAGGTCAAGCCTTCTTTAACCGTCGTAGCAGAGCCACAGCCAGGTTTACATTGTTGTTATGCAGGTCGACTTTGGGGAGGTGTCTTTGGCCTTAACACCTTCCCCTTTTGTCTCTTTTTTACAGGACAACTGTGACAAGGTGTATATCAGCACGTCTGACGTCCAGATGCACGCCAACTACCACCGGAAGGATTCCGCCATCATCCAGGAAGGCTTCCAGAGGTTCAGGGCCACGGAGGATTGCAATACCCCAACCTGCCTCTTCTACGGCCAGAGGACTACCCACTTTCATTGCCGCCGATCAGGCTGCAAGACAACCTTCAAGAATAAAGCTGACATTGGTGGGTTGGAATTGATGTCGGCTGCTCGCTCGAATGGTGTAGATCCTTCCTTTTTCATTTCTGAAAACAAAATTATTTCTCATTGTAGCGTTGGGATGACCTGGCGTTTTGTTTTTATTGTCTTACGAATATCTGAACATTGATTAGGGTATACAATTTTAATAGCGGTAATTGCGTTAATTTGGATAAAAATTACTGGCAACGTGCATTTTTTGAAGAATACATCAGTAGCTTTTGTTATTACATCATATTTTGGTACAACGCATTTACTCTGTAGAAAAAGGAGACCCACGGGTTTCTTTTTCGGTGCAATGTGCAAATACAAGCAAATTAAAAAAAAAGAATAAAGAAAAATGCTGGGAAGCATCCTGCAGTACGGCTCACAGCTGTCTCACAAACATTGACGTATACCTGGGAAGATGTCAAGTTCAGCAGGAGGAACGTCATCGTGAACAAAAAAAGAAAAAGTACTATTCGCAAAACTTGCGGGACTGAACATTACGGACAAACCATAAGTGCATCTTGTAGCTTTTTTTATTATCCTGTCGCTTAATCAATATAAATATAGGAGTGATGTAACTCGGGTTAGAGCCACTAAGGATACCACACTTTAGAGTAAAGACCCCGTTCACCTTGATGCTCGAAATGAAGGTTGCTTGTTGTCTACAGTTTTATCTAAAATCGTGGGAAGCGCTTTTCCGTCCTCCAGGAATGTTAGGACAGTGCGCGAGAGAGAAAACGGGATAGCTTTTTGTCCCCCTACCTAACACTCAGGAAGTCGCATTTCCGAACCGTAACGATCGCCACTAGCGATCGCTCTGCACTGAGTGCGAAATAGCGGCTCCCACAAAAAAACCGGGGAATGGACTACCAATACGCTAAGCGTATATTTTCTATTAGCTATAATCCTGGCTATGCTGGGTACATCCATCGTCTCGTTTGAGGGTCCAGTGCCAGCGACCTTATCGAGCGTCTCGCCCCGCAGAGAAGCACAAGACGTACCACATCAAGGACGAGCAGCTGAACAAGGACGGGTTCAAGAAGTTCATGAAGCATGAGCACTGCTCGTACGAGAACTGCCGCTTCTCGCGCATCTGCAACCACATCCACTGCATCCGGCCGGGGTGCAGCTACGTGCTGCATTCCAGCGGGCAGCTGTACTCCCACAAGCGAAAGCACGAGCGCCAGGACACCGAAATGGCCTACCGCAAGTTCAAGCTCGCCCAGAGCATGCTGAAGAGCTACTCGGCCGCTGGCGCCAGCGACCCGTGCATCATGTCCGAGCAGGTATGGCGTCGCCCTCTTCTTTTCCACGGGAAACAATTAAAGAGGTCAGGTTTTTGGATGACGTGAATCCTCAGAAAGCGTAACCGCGAGTTTCTCCACTAAATGTTTTGGGGAAAATGACGTCACATGACTTCATGTCACGGGACCTATACACAAATTCAGTTTCCCTGCTACGTTTAGCGGAAAAATTGACGTCACGTGACCTACAGATGCACAACTCTAACTCACCACTAACTCCAGTAATTCCGCTAAACATTTGGTTTAGTGCTAGTGGTTTAGCAACATCAGCGCTAAAGCATGTACGTTTCGCGTAGCGACATAATTGCAGGGCAATTCGCGAGATATTTTTTTCCTCCAAGTTGCTATCTGAAGAGGTCAAATTAATCGATAAGTAATCTGCATTAAAAAAAAACAAAAAAAACCCCATACGTTTGTTTAGTCTGCCGCCGATAAAACCATGCTTGGTTTCTTTAAAGGGAAAGTGACTTTGGGTGTGGTGAATGCCTCATGGTTTAGGATATGTGTTAAAGAAATGAAACTGAACTACTTTTTTACGGGAATAACTTTTTGATAATTCTCTACAGATGCATTTTATGAATGTGTAGAATATTTTCCGAATGCCCTTCAAAGTTTGTTTTAAAAACTGATTGCTAAGATGCCCTTACGATGGTACTTTTTAGTGTAAACCTAGCGCTACCGTTAAGAGAACTTCCCGAAAATTTGTCGTGAAGGTGCTGCTGGTGAATTGTTATAGTCTAACTGTTGCAACCTATAAACAAAGCTTGGTGGAGAATAAAAGTCAAGATAATCTAAATCATGATTTAAATCATGATATATTCATAATATAATCACACCATACTATAATGATTTAAATCTAACCATTTGCGAAAAAAGAATCCTGAAAATAATTCGTATTTACCGTTTGTCTATCATTTGATGCATTCGTACTTAAAATCAACGAATCATCTAGCAAGAAAGATTGGTATAAGACCGAACACGAGCAGAAATAAATGTTCTTCGGAGCAAACCGAAGAGTTGAGCTCGATGTCTACCTTCCACTTTGTTCGTCAGTTACATGACATCCTGCTGCAACTAAATCAAAACGCGAAAGAAACGAAAACTAGAAAATAAATAATTGCAATAATATCAGAACGCAAAAAAATCGATATAAAAACATCAGGCCTGTTTTGTTTTTGTTCTAGTATGGCCGGGGTTACACCCATAAAAGTTGTTAATTAAACCATAGTTCACATTTACAGTTATTCTTTCTTCCGGATCACTGGTCGGACGTATTAATCATTCAGTCCGTCATGTTGAGAAACACATCTAGTAGTAAAGAATCACGCTTTTTTAGCTTCAGTAATTTAAATAACTTCTAATTTAAATTCAGTAAATGTTTTAATTAATGAGTAAAAAAATCATGGCTTTCTTTTTTTTACTTTCCAACAAAGTCAGGAATTTGGGGCGAAGCTTCACAGGGAGGTGATGGTAAAGGTAATTTCTACAAAAAGAGCGAGAAAGTATGCCTTATGAGTGATGAGGAAACATAAAACGTAAGAGGACATCTCTTGATTTTGCTAGTACTCACATTTTATTAGATGCTTCGAAAGCTTAACAAAACGAACACGAAGCTTTCTAGTATTCTTGGTGTTGCAGCGTGACTTTTCCCACAAAAGATTAGGAACCTTGCGCTGGTTTAAGGTCAATTAATTTTTCGTTAGTTGTCCTCCCTAGCCCCCAGTTTTGCGAACGCACGCTGGGAACCCAACTTCCTAGCCACGTTAACACCTCACCGTTTTCTTCCATTCTCCGCAGTTGGCGATTTGCGACCAAAGCCTGAGCAGCTCTCCGGTGCAGAGCATGTTTCCGACCGTGCCCTCGTCGTCGTCGGCGCTCCCACCGACGCCGGGCTCGAGCACGGTCGCGACCCTCGCCCCGACCACGATGACGACGATGAGCTCAGCGGGTAGCATCGCGGAGGCGGCCCACAAGGCGAACCAGCTCGCGAACCACGCGCTCGGCCACACGGCCCACGACAAGCTCAACTGCGGCGGCAACAGCTCGGCCCAGTCGCTCCTTCCCGACGCGAGTGCACAGCAAAAGCCGCACATGTTGGACCCGACCTTCCTGTCTGCGTTCCTGCCCAACGCCTCGGGCGTCGGTGCAGCCCTGCACCCGGGTCTGGCGTTCAACTTTGCGAGCCATGGCTACGGCGCGAAAGAGGAAGACGGCTGCGGATCGAGCAACGGTCAGGCATCGGATGCTACGAGGGATGTGGGCGCCAAGGCCGAGGAGACCTGGCAGCGCTACATGGTCAGGTGAGTCGCCCCCAGCGGGTCCCTGTCACGCGTCCGTAACTGTTTCTCTTCAGGGACTGGGCATGCAGAAGAGAGGGACTTGTAAGGATGACGGTACGAAAGCATGGAGACTGAGGCTGCTAGCTTTAGGACTACTTACTAATCCTTCCAATCAGAGATCGGTGTTCTGATGTCTCCGCGCGCTCTCTCTACTCCTTCTCTCTCTCACCTTTTCGGTGCATTGACACTATATTCTTTGCCACATCGAGTGATATAGAAAAAAACAAAAAAACTGCAAGTATAGAAATTCGAGCATCCCAAATTACACCTCCTGTGGGTTTTTGGACATAGATATGCCTGTCATAGCATGGGGTATATACTTGTTAATGTGCCGAATTTTAGGTTTTCATTACAATCCACCGCTTGGGTCGTTGTGAACCTGAGGGAGATTGGGCCAATTTATCACTAATATGAGCATAATTTATTTTTAGTGTCAGCTATGACCATGTTTCTAAAGTTGCGCTTCATTCGCCCACAGGTATTCCCCGACGGACCTTTGTCGACCCGAATGCGAATTCATCTACCGCGAACACTATCACTGCACGACGGACAATTGCTCCATGGTGTTTCCTGGCAAGGACTTCGGAGGCGTGCAAGAGCATGCAAAGTAAGGAGAATCGGAACTCTGGACATCCCAATTAGTGCGCTGGACTCGTCAGTTGGGGTTCTACCGTAATTTCAAGAAAGATTGCTACTGTTTGAGATATAACCTGCTTCCTTTTTAACATTGAGCTCTTCACTAGTTAAGCAAGCACTTAATCTAGTGTGTCAGACTCTTGTCTTTCATGATACACCAGACCTTCAGAATCAGAGCGTATGCAGTATTTCCTGTCCGGAGGAATAGGGATTTTTAAACTAAACTTTTCAATCTGGTTATTTTTGTGTAAAGGGCCGCCCACACTAGCGAGAAAACGCGCCCGGCGCGCCGATAAATCGGTTAAGCGGGAAGATAAAGGGCGTGTCTCTGCACGCGCTCGTGGCGCTGACTGTGCTTTGGCGACATTTTGTTACTTGCCGCGATCGGCGTGCCACGCGCGTTTTCTCGCTAGTGTGGGCGGCCCTTAACAGGTAATGAAAGATACAATAGAAGATGGAAGTGCTCTAACGCGAGATATAGATTAGTGGCGGAAGGGATTGTTTTGGAAAACAAAATACTCTTACTTCACAAGAAGCTGCAAGAGATAAGATTTTGTGCACGAGAGGAGAGAAAACAAAATCTGCAAAGATAAGCCAGGAACGAGATTCGAGTTTTAAAATTTCAATCTGCTTTTCGCGGAGCTTTAAAACGATTTAATATTTAATAGAAGTTCAAGTACATATTCAGAGAGTTTGCTTGAAGTAAAGTGCAAATTTTCTGACCCTACCTAAAATAGTGCTTTAAGTACCATGTTCTTAAAACACTTCCCAATTCAGCTAATTTTTTTTTTTCAAAAACGTTGGGGGATATATTAAGCTCTTGAATAATATTCTAATCTTGAAATGCCTGCATATTTCGAGGTTTAGGAGGGAAGGCAACGCAAAGAGGCTACCTTTCCGTTGCCCTTTAGCACGCGATCCTTCAAGTACAGCACAAACTACGGGACCACCAGATGGGCTTCAGAGCGGGTGCTGCGTTTCGTTGACTCCAGTGGGTGAGGCTGCAGTGTGTACGCCTCCTGTAGTGGGCGAGAGTTCCTAAGTTGGGGAGAAGCGGGGAAAAAAAAACCTTCTTTAAATACGCCAAGTTTCCTTCAGCTTTGGGACAGAAAGAAATGCCAGCCTTCGGCGCTAAACCCTCATTTACTAGGCCTCACTTGCTACGTGTCTGTCCGCTCCGCGCCTCATAGCAGGGTTGTTGCAGTGGGGGCTTGTAAAAATGTTAGAGGGTCTCAGACGCTCTAAACCACGCCCCTCCCCCCCCCCCCCCCTTTCCTACACCACATGCTTCCACTTCTTGGTAAATATCAGCTAATCTTCGAACATCTTATTTATTTTTGTGCAGGAATGTGTGTTGACCAACAGAACTACAACTAAAATTCAAGAGTAGTTGTAATTTGAGTAGATGTTACTCGGAAAAAGTAATTAAAGTAAACACTAATTACCTAAACAAAAATGTAATTGAAAGTTACTAAACTACTCAGAAAAGTAGTTAGACTACAGTAACTTGAGTAGAGTAGTTGAACTATGTAAAAGTCTGCACTGAGATAACTTGACGGTGGTTACACAGTTTGTTGAACGAGAAAGAAGAAAGAAGGATGGGTGGAGGGCGTTTTCTTTTGGTAGAAACTTCATCTTGTGTCAATTGTATATTGCTGAATATGACCCTTCGCCGAAAATTATGAGGCCTTTCTACTTTTTAAGAATGGGCAACGGAAGGACGAGGCTCGGCGGTAATGAGCCTAGGAAAGGTCAAAAGAAAAAGAAAAAACGAACAAAATAAGTTTATATTACTATAGAGAGTTTGTTTGTTTGGCCTCTGAGAATAAAAGTTTTCTTAAAATTGTTTAACCGTTGTCGCTTTGGTTAATAATAAACGTTTAGGCGCCATTATTAGAAAGGGTTACCCCTGATGTAGAACTGCTACTTTAGCTGCAAATGTTACCTTTGAATTTCTGAAAAATAAAATAAAAAATGCACAGTATAAAGCAAGCGTTTGTCTCGAGCTTCTTGAGTGCAGGTGCGAGTTATTTTTTGTGTGACAAGTGCCCACTATTACCCAAAGTTCAGAAGTTTAGAATGCTGGCACATATTTATGGATGTGCTGAAGATGTTTTCTTCTGCTGCGTCCCGTCCATGGTACATAAGATTAAACTTTTTTTTGCAGAAACCACGAGCACCAGGACCAGATCACACAGTGCTTCTACCACACCGTGGGGAAGAGCATCGAAGGGGAGTGTCCTCCCGAGTGTCCGTTCCAGCTCAAGGAGAAACACTACCACTGCCAATGGGTGAGAAACCACTTTGACGCGACGCTTCGCTGCGAACGTTCACGACCAGCATCGAAAAGGGCTTCTTAAAATATCGAACGGTATAGACAGGAAGAAGGCCGCATTGTCTCGAGAAATTGATTTCGAGATAAAAACATGTCTGCATTTTTACATCCTCACAATGTGATATTTGTTCATCTCGAACAAAATAATAAAATTTATAATTTCCCTGGCACATCTTTATGAAATAATCTAACGTATCTACTTCAATACTATCCGGGTTTTTTTTTTTTTCCAGGTATGCGCTTATGTTGTTTCTAGCCTTTGGCTTCTACTTTTCTTTCCCCCATGCTTATGCTGCTATGAGTAGGAGTTTCGCGACACATTTCGAACGCTCCTTTCACATGGCGAATAAGATGAAGATCCACCTTGCGGAATGTGTGCTTCTCCGTGCTGCAGCTCGTGTGTTGCGGAGAGGTAGCACTCCTGCTGCGGAAGTCGCCCTTGTCTGCAAACGCACCAGTTGCTCAACATTTCGTTTGAATAGCGTCGACGCGGACCTTACTATGATTTATCCAAAATAGCCAGGCTCCAGGTTGAGATAGAAGAATTGGTAAGCATCATACTGAAATGGTTGCATGGCATTTTGGTTTTGTTCGACCAGCAATCATCCAGGAGTGGGAAATCGCATGCGCTCTGCCACTTCCCTGCATTTAAAGTGTGTGTGAGGGAAAGCACCCTCTCCAGACAGGCGGGGTTGAGTGGCGCGCGCTCGCGTCGCCGCAAGGAAGTATATTTGGCTATATTAAAAACAAGGAAGGCAACCTGATGCAGAAACTTTCATACCTAACTTAATTGTGCTGGAACTCAGCTTCTTGGTCTTGCAGTAAATTCTTAAATCGCCTAAACTAAACTACAACTTTTTTTTTTTTTTTTTACAGCGGAGTTGTTAAGGGCTAGTTTCCCGACTATCATGTCCGCCAGCAAACAAATGATGGCACAAAACTCTGGACAGCTAACGCCTTCCGTGGGCGACGGCGGCACCCAGACAACCGGCTTGCCGGCTATTTGGTTGCCGCCGTCGTTCATAGATGGTGGCAACCTTTCCAGCCTTTCCACTCTGGCTTGCCGACTTGCTGCCGGCCATTACTTCATTCCCACCATAGTACAGCTTCTCGGGTCTTCCTTCTTCACCAAATTGAAAAGACTGAAAGTTTCTTTTGTTGTTTTGTTTGACGTTAAAATTTACGATTGTAGATAGCCTTAACATAAAAAGAAACTCCCCTCCCTTCGCGGCCGATGTTGTTATTAAATTGTACAGTTATATAGCCAAAAAGGTTTAAACGTAATGAGATGAGTTATTGGTTCCGGGATAGAAGCACGCAGGCTTAAGTCCTACTTGCGTGATCTAAGAAAGGCTTTTGGTGCATGTCCAGGATGGCTGCCGAGATATTGTGAGCAGCACGGACAAGCCGTTCAGGCGGCTGGACCACTACAAGATGCACGAGTATACGACCAAGCTGAGCATGTCTCGCGACCAGTTTAGCGCCATCTCATCGGTCTCAATGGACGGCATCTTCAGGCGAAAGAGGGGACGGCCTCCGAAAGAGCGAGTTATTGAGGTTGGTGTCTCCTCCCACAAGGTTATTGTTTTTCATTATGCAGTATCGCTGACCTTACTTACGTGAAAGAGCTCGCCTATTTTGGTAGTCCCTGCAAACGTTGGAATGTCTGGTGTAAGACTAGAAAATGTGAAGTTTAGGTACCAGTCCATATATTTGCTTTTAGTCTTTGCAAGTGTTTGAAGATGTGGTGCAAGACGGATGTCTGGAACTGGGAAGTTAGAGTACTAGTTTATGGATTTGAGAAAAAATGGGATTTGTGCTGACCACAGGCGTAGAAAACTCCCAGATCGACTGTTTCAGTTCGCACGTCTGGAGGGTTCATCAAAGATGGTGAAGATACATCCGCGTTTTTTCAAGCAGAGTAGAATGGGTGGCCTGCCTAGGTGCGCATTCAGTCACAACTTTGGGCTCACAGTTTCCACCCTGGACTCATATGAATGATATATTGTGTTCTAGTCTGAACGTATCGAAATCAAATTTCTTCAAAAACGTTAAAGAAAGCAATAACGTTCCCAGAATCAATTGCCCTTTCGCGATTATTATGTTTTGAGTGCATCTCAGCTTGTAATTGACCGTGTTGCAGCAAACTACACCGGAAAGTATAATTTAATACAATAATGTTGGGGGAATGTCTCAGCGTGGAGAAGATTTACACAATAATTAATTGACTTTCACCTGTAAGGGGGTGCATTTCAGGTTGGAGTAGATTTATCATTGTGGACAATAACACCCCTTAAATTTCCCACTCCATCAATCTTTACGGCGGATAAAATTTCCGTAGATGATAGACACGTTTCAAACTCTCCCCGATTCGTCTCCTTTTCTTCCAGTTTCCCCTGGGTCCCAGCTCACCGCACCTGTCCCAAGCCATCTACGCCAGCTTCAAGCTCCCCAAACCGGGCTCTAGTCAAAACAGCCCAGCGCTGTTTCCTCCTTTCCAAAGCTCGTCGAGCGGACTCCTGGGCATCCCGGGACCTTCCAGCGTGCCCAGAATGCCCCTTGGATCTCCGGGCATAGTCGACTTCTCTGTGGACAACCACCACCAGGCTTTGCACTTCCTGCAGCAACATCAGCAGCTCCAGGAAAAGCTGATGGAACAACAAGAGAAGCATTCTGCGGAGCAAGCTGCCGCTGCTGCTGCTGCTGCGGCGGCGGCGGCGGCGGCCGCGGCCGCAGCTGCCGCGAATACTGCGAATGCTGCGACGTCGGTGAAGGCAGAGCCTAGGGAGCCGCCGGAGGCGGATTCGGCATCACAGACCCTGCTCTCGGTGTCACAACTTCCCTTCACTCCTGAGGTAGGGCATGCACTCCTTTTGGTATATCTTTTGTTCGAAAGCCGTTCAATGTAGTACTAGTAAGAAGCACGAGTTATAAGCTAAGAAATATCGGAAGGTTGAAAAGAAAGTCATTGACGCATTGCTGTGTCCACGTCTTTCTCTTCCACATGCCCACACGTAACAGATGTCGTTGATGCTGCTGCATTTCTTGGCTGGTCCACATTCGGGTACCTCAATGACGTGGCTCATAGCACATACCAACATGGCGGAAACGTTACGCGGCGCCAGCATCGTTCGCACAGAATGGCAGCGCACAGGAGCCTTTCTTGCAAACATGTATTGAGGCTATAGCAAATAAAATCCTGGGGGCAGTATTCTGCTATTACCTGAACTTTCTAACGTAACTAAGAGGGGTAATGATGACCGGTGTTTGTTTGCAACTTCTTTATAATCTGCAGCCTCTGATGTTCATCATTTGTTTTTCAGAATCACTAATATATTATTTGCGTTGCTTCTAATCCTTAGTGGCATATTTCTCGCTCTTCTGAGCTAATTTTAATTAAGTTACGCAAACAGTTTTGCTTGAATGCTTTATTTCTTTAAGGGTGTTTGTTATTGACTACAAAGAAGTTGCTTTCTTGTAATTTTAATGGTTATACGAACCAAGTTTTTTTTAAGTAAAGCACCTTCATTATTGCTGACTCTGTGGCAGGTCAAAATTTCCGTAAAGTCATGCAGCCTAAGCTATAGTTTCAGTCACAAAGTAATATCTTTTCCTGACATAATAAGTTTGATTGCACAACTTGGGAACGTTGGCCATAGGCTCGAATTTATATCTTCTGCTGAAATAACATTTATTGAAGAGAGAATTCAGCTGTCCCTCAAGGCGCCTGTAAAACATTATGTTATGATCTGTTTAAACGTTCTTGCCTCCCACATACCAAGTTCACACGCTGCGATCTTGGTCGCCTGCAGGTTCACGAGGGTTTCTACATCATCCCTGAAAACGCCCCTTGTCCCGACAAGCTGTGCACCTTCTTCGGCCAACAACACTTCCACTGTGTCCAAGCCCGGTGCCACTACGTGACGGACCGCGAAGATATCCTCGTCTTACACTCAAAAGACTTCCACGACAACATCGACATCATGGAAGGATTCGTCTTTTTCGATCGCAGCGTCGACTGCCGCCTCCCGGGATGCCACAGCAATAAAGTTAACCGGCACTTCCACTGCACTCGACCCAACTGCAGCTACTCCTTCGTCCGCTACTCCACCATGAGCATGCACGAGCAGAAGCACGCTCAGCAGACCGCCGGTTCTCCGTCGCTAGAGGACGAGGAGGAAGGGCCTTCGCCTCCCAAAAAGAAGTCCTGCTCCAGCGACGAAGACCGCGTAGCGAGTCCTGCAGCAAGCGACACATCACAAAAGACGGTCGTGAAGTCCTCGGGGACGTTCTATCCGCTTTCGGCGTTCACGAACAACAACAGCAAGACTGGAAGCGACAACGACCACCCCCCGGAAGACGGCGAGGACAAGGAGAGGTTCGTGTCGAGCCCCACTTCCAGTACAGCGTCGTCGTTGCCCGAGTCCGATCAGCAGCCGCTAATGAAGTTGCTGATGAAGCCGACGACGGTGCAGACATTGGCTGCTGGCCAGAGTGCCGAAAAGCACGTCATGTTCAGCGAAGGTCAGAGTTGTGGACGACCCTTCTGCAAGAAGAAGAGAAAAGACCACTTTCACTGCAATGTTTGCAACCAGGTGATTATTTGTGATCTCGTTCTCTTGTTTGGGGTTTCTTATTCTGTTACTGTGAGTATGATCTTGATGTGTGTGAATGCATTTGAAACAATTTTTGGCCTGGGTGCGGGTTTCACGTTCATTGAACCTTACAGGGATTATTTCTGGTAAGGTCAAGGTTATTCATTCTAATGTTAAAGACAGTGTGTAGAAGGCATACTTAGGGCACCACAAGTATTTACCCAAACCTAAAGTCCATTAAACCAACAGAATAATGTACATCGCTACTTATTAGGCTATGCGAGGATTCCCAATTTTTTATGAGTTAAACAATGGAAAACTTAAAGAACAGGTGTCCTAGGTATGTCTCCTGATCAGCGTCACTTGAAATCATCTCATCAGATCTTCTACTGTCCTCTTCTACTTTTATTCACACTCACCTTACTTTGAGAGCTGCAGGTGGCATTTCCTCCTTCTCAATTCCATCTTGCTTTTGCGCAGGCATTTTCGAGCTTCTCCCGTTTGAAGCTACACATCTCCAAACATTCCGGTGCTCCCAGCCCAGTCCCGGTATACCCGGATGGTCGCACGACTCCGCTCTCGAGCCAGTCCTCTCCAGTGTCCTCTACAGCGCAAGGAGAGTCGGACGCCGAAGTGGACGAGGAACCAGCCCCGTCACCCAGCAAGAAAACGACGCCAGAACCAAAGCCGCAGCAAAACTCCCCGGTGGCCTCTCAGGGGTACCAGACTCCCTCGAGCACGACCGCTAACCACCAGGACCACCAGCACCATCATCACCATCCGTTCTTTAGCACCCCACCGAAACTGAGCCTACAAAACATGCAGAACATGCAGCACATGTTCTGGCCACCCGTCTCCTCTCCGGGACTCATCCCTGGGATGGCACCGCTGAACCCGGCGCTGTTGGCTCTCGGAGACATGTCGGGCCATCCGAACCTGGACCTGCAGCACCTCGCCCTCATGTGTCCCTCGGGAGACATGTTCTACGGCTCTCCGCAGATGACAACGAACGTGGCGGCCGTGTCGGAGCAGAAGCGTCCACTCTTCGCCAACTGTAAGACCGAAGAGACGCAGCCGACCGTCGCCATGAGCGAGCCCAAGCGGATGAAGATGCCCAGCCTGCGTATCCTGAAGGACGAGCCGGTCCCGGACGGCTACGTCCGGTTCCGGTTCAACGAGGACTGCAGCTACCGCCACTGCGGCTACCGCGAGCACCAGACGCACTTCCACTGCACCAGGAAGGACTGCGGGTACAGCTTCTGCGACAAGACCCGCTTCGTGCAGCACACGGCGCGCCACGAGCGGCTCGACACGCTCATGGGCGGCGATTTCCGCCAGTTCCGCGCCAACGTGCACTGCGGCAGGCCGGACTGCCCGCATGCCACGCAGCAGGCGGCCAACAACAACGGCCCCACGGGAGGCAGCAGCAACAAGGCCTCGCACTTCCACTGCCTCAAGTGCGAGTTCGTGTGCACCGACACGAACAAGGTGGTGGCCCACCGGCGGCAGCACGCCAAGCTGGACAGCATCAACGCTGCGGGCTTCGAGAAGTACACGCCGTCCCAGAACTGCGGCGTGGACGGCTGCAATTACAATGCAAAACAGACGCATTACCACTGCCTCAAGTGCCAATACGCGGTGCTGGGCTTGTCGCAGATGTCTTCGCACAAGTACCGTCACATGGACTGACCGACGACGCGGCGCTCTGCGGTGCGCGCGCCTGACACCCACCTTTTTTTTTTTATTTTCGTTTTTTTTTTTTTTATATACGTATATGTGAGTGAACAACGTAAAGTTGGGTTCCCTGTATCGCGGTGACGGATTCAGCTTTTTGGTTGAGATGCGGAGGAGGTTTAGATGGTTTTCTTTCTTTGGATGGGGGCGCCTGGATATGTACTAGAAAAAGTTGTTTTTTTCTTTCTTTTTTTTAGAAGAGCGAGGCGAATGTCAAAAGCAACCAAACTTAACATGAACTGCCCTCCGGTGCTCGCTCTGTTTATTTCTTATGTGCGTGTGTGTGCGTGTGCCCGTGTGATTGCTGTGCATTACAACATAGTCTGAATCCGTTTGTTTTTAGAGCTGCATTCTGATGTCACATTATTTTCTGTCGCTTCGCTCTACCTTCTGTTTTATAGGTCTTATACACATAGTTATGTGTCACAACACAAGTGAGGAGTTTGTTCCGGTGTGTATATTTAATGCATTTTACGGTGCACAATGCACAAAGAGACGATATGAGCTAGGGGATCTGTGACCTGTGAACCTGAACAAATCGTGCAATGTTTGAGTGAGCTAGCTTATTTTTCCAGGCATTGTTGGAGAAAGAGGTGAAAGCAGTGCATAAAGGTTCACCGTTTTTCCCTGTTCTGAACAACGCAGTGCAGGCAGTCTAGCTGAGACTAGGCTGATATAGCCAGAAATAGGTGTAACCTTTTTCTTCATTCTTTTTGTTCGCGGTGAAAGGCCTGCACACATACCTGTAATTTCGTTATCTTTAGGGTGTGGCGTTGTGGAATACGCGGCCTAGGCCATTTCTTTCCTAAGAGGATGAAAGCGATAGTTGCGCATTAGTTAATTCGAGCGGAAACTGGGGCTAGATATTGCACTCCGCGACTTCGTTAGGAAATGGTTGTAGCACCAAACGGACTCCCCAATAATAACGTAAAGCCAATCACATGTGATCAATGATTCAACAGCTGTGCGGTGTTTGGCATGCTCTAGCTGAATATCTTTGATTATTTCCAATTGCATTTTCCATGAACGCCCGTGAGAAAATTTTTGTTCGACAAAAGAGCTCCCTAGGCAGCTGAAATTTCTCGCTTACTAAAGAAACATTACGGTTTAAGGTGCACATCTAATTTTTGTGACTTGAGGCTCAAATTTATATAGTAAACTGAAGTTGTATAGAAAACATTGGTTTATATAGCAGTCCCTGAGAAAGCCTGGCAGACGATCGAAAGAGGTCACCACTGTAAAACAGAGGAGGAGAAGCGGACGGCAGACGAGGACCCCTTGTGAGAGTCCTCGACATCAGCGACATGCTCTTTCTGACACACATTTCGAAACACGTGTCGCGTCCGCGAAGTGTTTTCCGTAGAATGGCCGCTGCTGGCGCTAGTATCGGAAATTCTCGTCAGCAGTTCGCGTCCCCTCCTTTAGTTTATGCGACCGAACAATCTATTGTTTACACTAAGGGCAAACGCTTACCCGCGTAGAAGAGGCTACGAAAATAGTGATTGCTCTCAAATTAATGGAGAATATCTTCGCATTCTCCGTTTACAGTTTTCACTCTTTCTCATAAATTTCGCCAAAAGTGACCGTAAAGGAAGTTTCATGGACAGAATGTTCCTTAAAATATATTTAACGTGATCAAAGCAAAAATTAAAGAAAATATGGTTCATCGAATGAAGGAATAACAGCGTAGTAATTGTATTTTTGCCAACTGTCGTTTGCGAGCGTCTGCCGGCTCGCGGCCTCCATTTGACGTGGGTACCTTGGCAAGGCATGCCACGTCAAAGCAGCAATAAAACGAGCGCAAGTGAGACAGGGCAAGTCTTTGTGAGTACACCGGTGGTAATAAAAAATGCGCTTGCAAAAATTAAAAAAAAACGAAAACATTGGCGACATGATTCGAACAAACTTTAAAGGAAGTGTCACATTTATTTCGCACATGGCTGCGCTCGTCCAGCAAGTGCGTCATCGTACAAAACACGTTTAGTCTTTCGCAATTTTCGTTTTGCAGATGCGCGCCTCCAAGAGTGGATATTCTTTTAGGTTAGATTTTGACGGAAGAAAACGATCAGAGTTGCCAGCCATGCGCTCTGCCAATATATAGAAAGGCGTAAGCCTTCATTGCCGCAGTCACTTTTTTTACGCAGGCAAATGTCCTATAACAAAAGTTTGAGAAAGCTTATAATTAAAATTTCCCTTGTTACGATTAGGTTCTAGAATGACATTTGCTCTTGGCCAATTTTTTTTTCGCGAATGTTTTTGCAGAGTTTTTTTTCATTTTTGGCTGCAGAATTTACTGCATGGTTGCTCGTTCATGTCGAGCCCAGAGCCATTGGGGGCTTTCCCAAAACCGCATCAAATTGATAACGTGTACATAGTGCTTTCTCGTCAACGGAGGTGTGTTTGTGGTAGCGGCGGAGAAGAACGAAAAACAATCCAAAACCGGTGACTGTCTGTGTTGAAAGAAGCGGCAAAGGGAAGGAGTCACAAAGGCCTGCTTCTAAAATGTCTTCCCTCGATGTACAGAACAAATGGGCGGCTCGCTTGCCTTGAAACGAGCGAGACGGGGGCCCCACCCTGGTGAATTTATACACGTTTGCGGGATGTCCCTTTCCTCTACGAAATGGCACTGTTTTGCAAACAGACTGTGCCGTTATTTTTCTAGGGAACATTGAGAAGCACAAGTTTTTACCGAGTCTTATCGTTTCTTTTTAATCGTGTGTATATACGAAAGATACGTCACACACGCTGACAGTTTTCACGAGGCTATGCAGTTCCTCCTCCCTCATTTTCCCCATTCCAGTGCCAGAGGTTTCGTGTCTCGTTTTTTTTTTTTTCACTTTCTTCAGTTAGCATCTTTTGGGATCCAGAGAGTATTGGTGGGGAGCTATTTGTTTTCGGTTTTGTAGTGACATACTTAAGATGCATGCTCCAGCTGTTTCTTTTTTTTATTTTTTAGGTGTCGTTATGAAGAGAATGTTTTAACAGGGGAGAGTGACTATTGCCGCGTAACAACCGCTTTTCTTCATCGTGTGTTCTTTCCCCATAATCGGTACACAATAGGAGGATTCATAGGACGAATCGACTTTATTTATGCTGACCTCCAAAGGCTCACGACATTGTCTCCTTTTCTTTTTGTTCTTGTTTTGGTTCTGTTCTCTCGTGCACAGATGTTATTTAATGACTGTCCAATGAGTGTGTGCCTCATGTACATATAGGGATGTGATCACCATTATAATAGTGCTGTGTGTGCCTTACACTACAAACCCGACCCCATATCCTGTCAGCCCTTATCCGAAAAATAAAGGATGTGATAGTTCAAAAAAACCTCCTACTTTGTTTCTCTTTGATTTTGCGCACCTTTTTGTTGAATGTATTGCGCACACTACGGTTTGGTGCTGCACTTTCTGCATTAATAGGAAAATCAAAATTCATCTTGCAGAAGTAATATCTGTAGTAAAAGATTTTCTTCGGAGAGAAGGTGGTCCTTGGCATGATGACCGGCTTGGAGGTCTAATGTCCCTTTGTGCCCCTGAATTTGTTTGTCTTATATGTAGAGGCAAATGTGCCATTGCATGAGGGTTAGACATGTACAAGGTACTCGAAATAAGTAATTAAGTTAAGTGACTGAGTATTGGCCTCAAAATTAACTTGAGTGTAGTAAAACTATTCAATGGAACGTTATTGAGTAAATTACTAAGTACCGTAAAAAAGTGGCGAATTACTTTTCAAGTTACTTTTATTTATTTGCTTATGGTAACAAGAAAGTACATAGGTTTTGATCCGCTAGCGAAATTCTGCTAGCCAAATATAAAGCGGCTTGTGTTTTCACTCAAATGCTTTTTATATCTTGTTCTGCTTTTGCGTGCCTAATTGTTTTGTACTTTTTTGTTTTTTGGTCAGTGATGAACTGCGGATGTATGATTTCTACTTTGAGGTTTAGCACTGACTGAGCTTCATTTTTGAGACACTGTTTGCTTGTTTACAGTGCTGCGTAAGGTTCATCTAAATAGTACTTGAAGTAAATTACAAAGTAAATTAGAGGTTATGAACTTCAAGTAGTAAGTACAGCGGGTGCAATGTATTGAAGAAGTATTATAGATACAATGTAGTTCCAGTACTTTTAACAATCTTTCATGCTGCCCTTTCATCCCCCATACAGGTTTTTTTAACTGCTATGCTCCAGGAATAATCGGAGGTGCATAATTTTTCTTTCTTTGGAAGTGGCGGCAAATATTGGATAAAGTTAAGTCGCCAGAGAGTAGCTGTTTTACTCTCGCTGACAAACTTTTTAGCACAATAAACTTGTATAAGGCATTTATTTGTATCGGTCTTATAGTCACTGTAACTTCACTCAAAGAAATGACAAGACGACGCCTTGAAAGACGATAGCGCGTTTTCACACGGCAATACGCAATTTCTTTTTTCTAATTTGGCGAATGTACTTTTAAGTCGGAGGTTTCTTTCCTCGGAAAGTACCAAAGAATACTTACTGTATGCACTTCAAGTAAAGTACAAGTTTTCCAGACTTGTACGTAGTTCAACCAACCGGCGGACTCTTCCTATACCTCCCATTGAGACTCCAATTGCAGACGGCAGCGCCAAATCTCCCCTAACGGGCGTTGGGTTTCTCCAAAAGTAATAAAAAATAGACAAAACAATACGCGCGCCGTCGTTATGGCAACCGCTTGGTTATGGGAGAGGGTCTGACAAGTGTGGTTCCTCCTCTCCCTTTCTCTCACCCTCGGCGACAAAAGGATGCGAGTTCGTTCGGAGTTCGGAGCAGCCTCCGAACTCCGAACGAATTCGCATCCTATTGTCGCTGATATTGAGAGAAGAGGGAACTGCTCCCATTGCGCCGTCTCGTTCTTCTACAATACAATGTGTTTACCTTTTTTTTGCGAATGTCCGACGCTCCGAAACGATTGCACTTGACTTAGCGTCGCTCGATTGATATCAGCTTGGCAACAGTGCATGTTCAGTGACAGCCAGTTCTCATAAAATGGTCACTCAATGAATGCAAAGTACGCCCAGCCGCTGCTGTTTAGCGGCTTAAGATGGGCGCACATCGCCAGTCTGAGCACAAGTCCAAACTTCTTTTGCAAGTTCTCTTTTTATTAGGCACGCTCTTTATACAGAGAGGAAAAAAAACAAAACAAAAAACGTTCACTGCACGGCACAACAAAGTAACAAAATCTACACGAAACTACTATTCAAGTATTCACAGATCTGCAATAACACATTTAACTTTGCGGTAGTTAGCGACAGCGATTCGATCGCCACGGTCTCTCGCAGGTTCCTTCTGCAGCGAGCTGCTCCACGCACGAGCTGCGGTGCTCTAACACCGATACCGCCCACACCGCTCATTTTAAGATACATGCGCTATCCCTTGTGACCTTCTACAATAACTCTACCATAAAGAAACTTGCACCAGCAAGTTTTCGGCCATCCGAAACTGTATAACCAAAAGTATAACAGCCCGTCTTTACCTTTCGTCACTCGACCGGGAACCCAAAGAACTTGGCAGAGATGTTGCCACTGGAATTAGAGCACCACTGAGTCGAGCAATAGACAAGGTTTCGTTTCCTCCGTGTTTTGGTAGAAGAAATAGACCGATAACCAATAGGTCAACGCCACTGCCCGCTGCCGCAAACGAAAACCACCACCGCACCGTTGGCACACACGCCGTCGAGCAGTCGACGCATCCGCGACCGCGGCAGCCGACGCGCAACTGTTGTCAACGGTCAAAATACAAAAAACAACCGGCCAATGAGAGCAAAGTATGAGGGCGAAACTTTAGCTAACCAAAATATTTGTTTCATCTTACCAGGATAATTTTTGAAATCTGTAAGCAGCAACAATAATATGTATCTCATCCTATTAAATAAACTTTCCGGCGTAAACCGGAAAGACTTAAAGAATACCAACGGATAAGAGATGGCGCTGAAATAGCTAAACGGAAGTCGCATGAAGTGTCCGCCGGTTGGTTCAACTACTCTACTCAAGTCACTGCGGTTTAACTACTTTTCTGAGTAGTTTCGTAACTTTCAATTACATTTTTATTTCAGTAATGAGTAGTTTAATTACTTTTTTTGAGAAACTTCTACTCAAGTTACAACATACTTTCGAATTTTAGTGGTTGTTTTGCCTATAAACAAACATTCCTGCACAATGGAGATAAGATGTTGGAATATCAGCAGATATTTGCAAAGAGGGGGAAGCGTGTGGCGTAGGAAAGGGGGGGGGGAATAGTTTGGAGAGTCTAACCCCCCCCTCCCCCACTCCAACAACACTGCTACGAGGCGCGGGGAGGAACAGACACGACGCAAGAGAGGCCGAGTAACTGCGGGATTAGCACCGAAGTCTGCGTTTTTCTGTGTCCCGAAGCTCAAGGAGACTTGACCCATTTGAAGAAAGGGCTGGTCTCCGCTTCTCCCAACATAGAAACTCTCGCCCACTACAGCGGGTGCACACACTGCATCCTCACTCAAAGGAGGCAACAAAATGCAGCACCTGCTCTGAAACTCATCTGGTGCTCCCGTGGTTTGTGCTGCACTCGAAGAATTGCGTGCTAAAGGGCAACGCGAAGATTACCTTTTTGCGTTGCCTTTCCTCCCAAAACTCAGAATATGCAGATCTTCAAAGATTCAAAGATCGTTCGAGAAAACTGTAGTAATTCCCCCAACGTTGTCATAGAAAAATAATAAACAAGCAGTGTTGGAAAGTATTCTATTCACATGGTACTTAAGTATTATTGTGTAAGAAAATTGTACTTGAAATAAATTCTCGCAACATGTACTTGTATTTTCCGAGAAAGGTAAAACTCGCGACTTCAATGTACATTCCCCGAATATGAAAAAAAAAGCGGCATCGTCGTGTGAAAACTTGTTCTTTCGAGACGTCATCTGGTAATTTCTCTGAGTGAAGTAATTGTGGCTGTAAGACCTATAGAAATAACTGCCTCATAAGTTGAGAGTGTCAAATAGCTCGTCAGCGAGAGTAAAAGAACTACTCTGCGGCGACTTGACCTTATACAATATTTGCTGCCATTTCGGCAAAAACCCCTGGAGCAGTACATACCAGTTAAAAAAAAAAGTGTATAGGGGATGAAAGGTCATCATGATAAAAAGTCAAATTGAACGTTTAGTGATTTATACAGCGTAAGGTCGGTCTGCCAGGATGAGGCGACACTGGTTTACACTTTTGATGAGCAATTTCGCCAGTGCAGTACAACTGCTAACCTGGGGTCTTTAACGTGCTCACGCAGTAGTGATACACGACCGCACGCCGGTACAATACTCATCCAGATCGAAACGGGCAGGGGTGGGGCTCGAACCCAGGATCCCTGGGTTCTGCAGCGCGAATCATCATGATAGATTGATTGTGTTAAAAGTGCTTGTACTTTACCTTGAAATATATTGTATTTATATACGTTACTTCAAGTACATTGCACCCGGTGTACTTACTAGTTTATTTGAAACACATAACCTCTCATTTACTTTCTACTTTACTTCAAGTACATTTTAGATGCATTTACGCAACACTGTTAACAAGCAAACTCTGTCTAAAAAATCAAGCTCAGACAGTGCTGAACGTCAAAGTAGAAATGACACGTTCGCAGTAGATCATTGACCAAACAAACAAGTACAAAACAATTAGGCACGCAGAAGCAGAACCAGCTATTAAAGCGTTTCTGTGAAAAAAACAAGCCGATTCATATTTGGCTGACACGATTTCGCTAACGGATCAAAGCTTTGTACTTTCTTTTTGCCATAAAAAAACATACAAAAATAACTTCAGAAGTAACTTCAAAAGTATTTCGCTACTTTATACGGTAATTAGTAATTTTCTCAATTACTTTCTATTTGAGTAATTTCTACTCTACTCAAATTACGTTTGACGTCAATACTCAGTAACTTAACTTAATTACTTTTTTTAGTCACTTGTACATGTCTGAAGTTTTCTAAACCTACTTGAAACAGTACTTTAAGTACCATGTACTTAACTTAATTACTTTTTTTTAGTCACTTGTACATGTCTGAAGTTTTCTAAACCTACTTGAAACAGTACTTTAAGTACCATGTACTTAAAGTAGTCCCATTCACTGCTTGTTTGTTATATTATATGCAAAAAAAAAAAAAAGAAAAACACGTTGACCGACTTACTAAGGTTTCTCGAACGATCTTCGAATCTTGGAAGACCTGCGTATTCTGAGTTTGGAAAGAAGAGCAACGCAGTGGTCACCTTTGCGTTTCTTTTTATCATGCGATTCTTTAAGTACGTCGCAAACTACGGGAGCACCAGATGAGCTTCAGAGCGGGTGCTGC